GATATAGGAGCCACTGCAAAGACATATAAAAAAAAAAGTCATATATTAAAAACAGTAATAAAAAACCAAAAAATGTTTAATAAAAATGCATTTTTAAACAGAATAATGTTCAGCAGAGGAACTGAGCTCTTTTCAAGGGAAAAATAAAATCCATCTTACAAAATCTAAGAACAATTTGAGAAACTTCAGGAATGAGCACGTTGTTTCACTGCATGATGACAATGTTGGAAATTCATCTTGGAAGTCTCTATTATAATAAGATATTGTCTGTGAATTCAGCATCATAGGTATAAGCAAGCTCTTTATCAACAAAGAATATTGGATGCCTGTCCAAAGAAATTTAGTCTTGTAGATCAAGTCATTTTTTAATAAGACAGAGTTGGAATGAAAAAGAATCTAATAAAGAATGGACATGCTGGAAGGCAGGATGATTTAAAAATTCTCACCACATTACTGGTGCCAAAATATTTTTATGCAGAACTACCAGAGTTTCCAGGGATGAAATACAAAATGTTCTGAAAGCCATGCAAACAGTATAAAAGATGTTTTTCATCCATAGATTTTACCACAAGCCCATTAAGGTCTTAAAACACAGACTTTACTATAAAGGCATTTTCAAGGGCTAAGTGCTGAGAGTTTAATGCCTTAGTGAGTAAGTGTTTATAGATTAAAATCCTTGACTAAAACAAGTAACAATTCTTTGTCTCAATTTAGCAATGAAGACTGAGTATACCTCTTTCACTGCATTTACAGAAATATGATTTGATATTGGAATATGGCCCAAAGAGCAAGACATTACCAACAAATACACAACACACATTTCTCCCTAATAAAGTGGTAAGGCAAGTAAAAAGAAAGGACACATGCGCAATTAGTTTATTTGTTCTCAAAAGATATGATGCACTACAGTATTGCAGTAAAATTCTCAACAGATTGCATAAAAAACAAAATCCATAGTAATAAACTATGAATCAGAAGTACAAGTTAATTTAGGAGTAGCACTTAAGACCACAGGGTACAATCTGTTTTTGCAATTTCTCCTACACGTGGTATACACAGTACCATTGAAAAGAATAACCAAAAGCGATCATCGGGATCACTGGACTAGCCTAGCATGGGAATGGCTAGCATGCAAAATAAAAAGACTTGAATGTTGAAAAAAAATTGAAGTCAACAGGTGAAAGCAATCATTTCTTTAAATTCAGAAGTGTCAAGACTGCCAGATACAATGGAATACATACCAACTTCAAGGTGAAAGCAATGTTTGCTTTATATAGCGCATGATAAGTAGAATTGTAACTGCTGACAGTGAATAGCAACCAAGTAGAACACACAAGAAAGAATTTTCTGAGAGATGTAAGTTCTGTCTAATCTTCAGGTCCAGCAGTCATTTATACGGAAAAAGAGCAGCCTGTCATATTATTTGGAATTACCAAATTTCTAACATACCTAGCACACACATCTTGGTGGCATGCTTGTCACCACTACTATTAAAGTCCTTCCTCTTCCCAGAACTGCCTCATGTGTGCCACACACTTTGTAACGTTTTATAAGCCCTGGAGAGCAGGAACTAAATATGTATTATTACTGTTCCAAATTACAAAGGAACTTGATCGAGGAAGAGGAAAACAACATTACTACAACACAAATAATAACAATAATAGAGGAAAGGAAATGGAATTTTTCTTGCCAGAAGAACCTGCTGCAAAGTTGTTAAAAAAAATGCCTCCTTGCTTATTGAATCTGCAGAGGGGAAAAAAAAAAATCCTCTCTCAAAGACAAAGCAAGACCCATGCAAACCTTATCATGTGTCAGATCAACTTATCAAAAAGAGATGCCTACCAGTTCAAACAAGTAAAACAATAAATTAAATACACCCACATCTGCCACAACAACAGATACTTTTACAGGGAAAACAGTGCCTGGTAATTCGTGAAAGCCGTCCTAAAGCCTCATCTCAAAAGAAACAAGTTTTCCTAGTCAACAAATCAAGGCATCCCAGAAGAAGGACTGATGCAAAATAGCATTACAGTAACTCATCAAATTCTCTACTAAAGGACAATTTACAACAGTGCTAAGTTTCAAAACAAAGTGAGTATTATTGAATGCTGGAATTTTTGGACACCTTAACTAAACTAACAAACAAAATGACTACACCTAACTAAAGACATGAACTCATTGTGGTCTCGCTACACACTATCTTCCAGAAACAGAAAAAAAGTTTGCTGAAGTTATTTTTATTGCATTAATCCTTGTTTTGTTACCTACTTAAATAAAAACAATTCTGGAAGGGATCTCTTAGCCGACTACAGAAGAAGTTGAGAGATTCTTGGATTAAAAATGTAAAGCTCAAGCTTAAAAATCCTAGTGTACTATTTAAGTAAAAAAGCAATAAAGGAACATCAAGCAGCTGATCTAAGTACTTCTTGATTATTTTTTTTAAATTAAATAAATAATAGAGCAGCGTACTGATAAACACCTTTGTTCTTTCAAATCAGCTGCTTTTTATTCTTCATGTTTATCTTTTATCATTATCAAGACAAATTTTGAAGCTCTGATTCAGACCATGATTCATGGGAGAATCAGATCTCGGCACAGAGTAGAAACCCACGCAAGTTTCTGCAAATTTGGATTAATAATAACTTGCGTCAGTTTGACATAAACAATTTGAGAAAGGTAAATGTGAAATGCAGCTACCACTAGCTGTGCCAATTTTAATTCCACTGTTAAATATAGCCCACTGAACAATTATCTCCCTTACCTGATAACGTAAATAACTAAAATCAATCTGGAGTGTCAGAAAATTTTCTTGCTCTGTCTTTTGTACCTTTGCCTAAACAAAAGTTTTCTATTTTTATCTGTGTATTTTGCAATTTCTGTTAACGCGCTACTTTGCATCTATGGCAAGGCAACAAAAAGGCCTCAACAACCACTCAAGCACCATTACTCTGTGCGTGTGCTCTTTTCCCAATTTACATCTGTTGCATCACGTTTGATCTTCAAGCAAAGATTGCAGTATGGAGAAAACCATAAATCTAATATGATAATTGTATAAAATAGCAATATATTGTATAATTTGTATAAAACATCAAATGTACGATTTACATATACAGCACCATTTTCAGAAATGTTGTGAAATACAGTAAGGCAATGTATTGGGTCTGGCTGAGATGGAGTTAATTTTCCCCACAGCAGCCCTCATAGTGTTGTGCTTTGTATTGGTGGCTAGAAAGGTGTTGATGACGCACCACTGTTACGGCTACTGCTGAGCAGTGTTAGCGCACAGCATCAAGGCTGTCTCTCCAACGTTCCCCCTTCATCTGTAAGGCTGGGGCTGGGCAAGATCTTGGGAGGGGACGTAGCCAGGATAGCTGATCCAAAGAGACCAAAGGGATATTCCATACCATATGACATCTGCTCAGCAATAAAAGCTAAGAGAAAGGAGGAGGAGCAGGTGCGTTCATCATAACGATGTTTGTCTTCAGGAGCAACTGCTATGCGTCCTGAAGCCCTACTTCCCTGGAAGTGGCTGGACATCACCTGCTGATGGGAAGTAGAGAATAAATATTTTGTTTTCCTTTGCTTCTGTGCATGGTCTTTGCTTTTTCTTTATTAAAATGCCTTTATCTTGACCCACGAGTCCTGCTGAGGAGGGGAGTGATAGAACGGCTTGGTGGGCACCTGGCATCCAGCCAAGGTCAACCCACCACATGTAGAAGCAAGGTAAAACTTTTAAGTAGATGTGAGATATGGAAGGATACCAGTCCAATAACCACCATGAGCATGAGACTAGCCCTTACTAAGGGTAGACAAAACAGAAAATTAGCAACGCCAGACTATAAAATAGTACAGCTCTTTTCTCTGTATCTTCTCTGCTGGAAGGGACAGAGATCTTTAAACAAGAGCAAGAACAGAGCACTAGAAACTCTACACCACCCCTTTGACAGGGTGTAATCATTTTAATGATGAGTTTAAAGTCTAATGTAGATATACTTAAATACCTGTATTACACCCCTATTTTGATAGACTAGAGAAACTTAGTTTATCTTTAGTTCCTGTCTATTAACAAATTTATTTATAAATTATCTAATTCAAATTAGCTGCTGTATTAGGGAAGGGAAATAAACACACTATAAACAGACTATACTGGCCATGCAACCTTTGTAGTTTTAGGACTCCTTGAGGCTGTGCATTACAGGTCTGTACATACAGCCTCCAACAACCTGCTCTATTACAGTAACAAATGCACTACCAAAAAAAAAAGTCCCCTGCAGTAACTGGTTGCAGCCTTTATGGGAAACACCAGAACACAGAAAATGGCATTCAGTCTCAATCTCACTTATACTTTTGGGGGACAAGAGTCGTCTATTATGTTCTCTTGCTTTCTGCTGTTCTCAAAAGCTCTCGATTTGCAACTGGCAAATACACCTTCACTGGAAAAAATGCACTCAACTTCGGTTAAAGAAGTTAATGCATCTTAAAATTTTCAAAATACTTACACTTAATATTATTGTTCTTGGTTTCATTCTCAACTCAGAGACATGTTTTTAAAACGTATATTTTCATGTTAGCAATTATGATGAATACTTCCCTATGATTTAATTTTTTTAAGCTAGATTGTCTGCAATTAGCATAGCAGTAGATTCAGTTTGTGGAAGTGAGCACACACATCATTCACAATGTGAGCTGGCACAGCAGGAACAGAGAACGTGCCAGTTCTAATGAAATATATCTAAACTGTCCTCTCTGTTCCATTTTATTTTTCTCCTTTACATACAAACTGATTCTGAAAATAGCAAAGTCTATACAAAAAATATAAATAAAATATTAACCAGTTGTATCAGTCATTAGATTTTTTTTTAATGTATTGAGTAAAACACTTCCTAGGAATTTCTCAACTGAACTGATTACTATTCAATAGCTTTCTTATAAGCAACAGTGTAAGCACTTACTTTTTATGATTAATTTTCGTAACTAATAAATGGAACATCAATACATACCTGCAATTTCTTCTATGGAGTTAGCTCTCATATCCAAAAGAACTGTGCCATTCAGGATACAGCTTCTCAGCTCAAACAAGCTATGAAGTGACAGTGTGGCAACATATGGTTTGCTCCACCTCTCTCCACCATCCTCTACATCTTCTTCAAACTTCAACCACCTGTGCAAACAACCAATTTTGTAACTCCATCGTGCATAAGGAATGAAAAATAAATCACTTCCATGGATATTGAAAAAGCACTGTCAAAAATGTCTTTGGATTTCATTTTATTCTTTCTTTGTAGGAAATACAAGAAACTTGAAACTTCCTTTGCCTGCTTCTTCCCATATAATGCTGTATTATACCATTTTTGAAGATAAATTCTGATCACAGAGATGAAGAGAGAAGCATATTAAGTAATCATTATTGTATTTTACCAAAACTTTAGTAATTCTCTGGCATACAATGATATTTCTATGATAGAACAGTAAGTAATACGAAAAGGATAGACGAGAAGAATTTGTAGTAAGAGAAAAAGATAAGCTATACATAAGAACACAGGAGAGAACTTTATTTAGCCTTCGCTTTGGACTAAACACAAGAAAGAGGAGACATTTTTCATTTAAAGTAAATATACTGACGTATTCACACTTTACAGAACCTTTGTTAGTTTAAGTTGTTAGTTACTTAACTGCACTAAGCTACTTATAAAGCCAGTAAAACATGCAAAATTCAGGACATTTTCCATTTAAAAGTTCAGTGAATTAAAATGAAAAACCTGACTGGCACATACATGCACACACGAGCAATGTGCAAACATTTGTGAACAGTCTTTCAAGCCCTAAAATACGGGCCTTACTGAGGCAAAACAGCCATGTGAATGACATGAAATAGCACTTCAGAATCTAGCAACAACGTTATATCTCACTATTTTGAGTCTCATTTGCCTGTTCTCAGGTCAGTGTAAATCCGGAGAGACTTCTGTGAAGTAAAAGGACACATGAAACTGGCATGAGAGGATCAAGTCCTTTGTTACTAGCCTGCTGGATGAACTTTCTTGCACGACTTTTTAATTGTTTACTGATAAAAATTACACTAAAAACATTAAAAGGATAATAAACAAACAACAAAAAAGACAAGTCTGTTGACATATGCAAAAGTGTTTTAAATTAAAGTTATTAAGCTGTTCAAGCATACACAGATGCTGCTGCATGGAGCCATACAGCCTGCCAGCTTGGCAGGGTTTGAACAGCTGCAGCCACAGCAAAAGCCTCAATCGCTGCACTCGACAGCACTCCTCTGGTTTGTATGGACCAGGCAGCACAGAAGTCAAGCAGAGCCTCACACCTTGACAGCACCTTCACACTTATTTCCAGACAGCAGGGAGGCGTAGAGACTTACGACCTCTAAAGCTGAGCAATTTCCAGTTTTACCAAGCCTCGCTGCAAACACAGGTGTCTGTTCTGCTCCTGGCCCACCTGCCTAGCTCTGCTCCTACCTGTAAAATAGGCCTGTGTAGAATCATAGAATCATTTAGGTTGGAAAAGACCTTTAAGATCATCAAGTCCAACCATTAACCTAACGCTGCCATTCCGCCACTAAACCATGTCCCTAAGCACCACATGTACACATCTTTTAAATACCTCCAGGGATGGGAACCCAACCACTTCCCTGGGCAGCCCGTCCCAATGCTTAACAACCCTTTTGGTGAAAAAATTTTTCCTAGTGTCCAAACTAAGCCTCCCCTGGTGCAACTTGAGGCCATTTCCTCTTGTTCTATCATCCATTGCCTGGCAGAAGAGACCAACACCCACCTCGCTACACTCTCCTTTCAGGCAGTTGTGGAGAGCAATAAGGTCTCCCCTCAGCCTCCTCTTCTCCAGTCTAAACAACCCCAGTTCCCTCAGCCGCTCCTCATAAGACTTGGGCTCCAGACCCCTCACCAGCTTTGTTGCTCTCCTCTGGACATGTTCCAGCAATGCAGAGTCTTTCTTGTAGTGAAGGGCCCAAAACTGAACACAGTATTCGAGGTGCAGCCTCACCAGTGCAGAGTACAGAGGCATGAATATAGAACATATTTTAGACACATCTCTCCTTTCAGTCCCTGTGTAGCAGATTCTTCCCTTTCTGATGCCATCCTGCAAGCAGCCACCACACTTCAGTGACCCACTCATCACCAGCATACCTGCTGCCTTCCTGATGCATTCCATTTCTTCTAACTGTACCAGCTGCCTCCTAATCACTCTCCCGTTACTTACATACACAATTTGCCGCCAAATCCTCAGCTTCTCCAAAATTTCCAATCTCCTGTGTCTAGCCCTCTCCTCCTCTTTGTAATTGAACATTTTTCCCTCCATTTCCTCTGTGCCAGCCAGTTTCTGTATCTCAACTTTGCCCACGAGACCTCTTCTCCACCAGACTTCTGTTCTCCACTCCCTTCATTGCAGTCTCTCTTCTCTTCCCAGCCTAGCCAGGCTATCTCCTTTACCTTTTCATTCTTCCGGAGAAGCACAAGAAGGACACGGCACACACAAAAATTTGCTTCCACAAAGCTGAACTGTCAAAATGAACTTGCATATGCAAATGAGATTTTCCAAACAGATTTTCAAAACAATGTCCAAATGGACATCAAACACAAATTAACACACGCCACCAAATTCAAAGCCATTGGTTTGACAGGGATGAGCTACAACTCAGGGAAGTTACCAAGAAGCATGTGGGAAGGAAAAAGAAGTTGTTCCTCTTTTTTTTTTTTTTTCATTTTGCAGTTGCACTTGACCTCCATAAGAAGAGGCTGCTCTTAGTTTACTCATGGCACTCATGTTTCCAAGCTAGAAACATGCTAGACCTATTTGTGGCCATAACAGCACAAACATGGTGCATTAATTGTCCTGCTTAAACTATTGCCTCCTAAGGCTCTGCAAAATATCTACATTTTTATCTTCTCATACCTCTGTTTTTGTGCATGTTTCTAAACTCTTTAGGAGTTTTAAAAGATTACGATATTCGCACTTGGGTATTCCCAATTATTTCTGATCACCTTATTTTATGCTGATTTGAAAAAAAGATTAAAAATCATGCTACATATATCCTATAAACAATGATGCAAGCATAGATTCTTACAGATTCTCATCAGAAACCTGATACTGTCATTACCTTCTGTTGATGTAAATAATCTTCAGCATTGTTTACCTGATTATACTGTTGCAGCCTGTCCTTCATACTACCTATTTAGAACATACTGACCAATTCTAAACAGATTTTAAATGAGCGATAAAAGACAAAGATATTATTAAAAGTTTCATTAAGATAGGTGACTGGACAGAAGCAGGCTTATAACCAGAGCTCATAACTTACTAAGGACACATAGACAAGAAAAATCTAAATAATGAAAACAGTTTTCATTAAGAGTCTATGGTGTCAATCAAACATCAAAGCTTACACACAACATAAAAATCCATAGGAAACTATTGCTACTGCTCAAATAATCATACTTGCTATCATGATCATCTCCATCTGACTTTCAATCAACTTGAATAGTATAATTCTATGGGTTGCATCCAATTTCCTACTGTTACTAAAACTTACATGTTTAAACACATTATCATACATTGTTACTTAATGAGCCAACAGGCTAATACATAAACGTAAATCATACCCAGCTGAGAGACTTTTACATTTGGAATCAACTTCTATTTTTCTTTTAATAAGCATTACATGAGTTTACTCATCTCATCCAAGGGAAAATCATGTTTATCACCTTTTATCTTTACAGAATTACTCCTCTGTTATGTCAGATAATCCTTATTTAACATATCAAATGAGAAACAGCAGCAGAAAACATAAACCAAACAAATCTCTAATCTTACATATAGCCATTCAATTCTAAGCATTCAAGTGGTTTTAAAAATTTTAACAACCTTCTGAATTAATGTACAAGATGCAAGGATAGAGATGACTTTGAAATCCAAATTCATGCATGGATCCCAAGTTTGCCCATTTTCTACTCTTTTTAGTTTCTCAGAGAAAAAGAATAATTTTAATATATTTACTTTTGCAGTTTAAAGCCCTTAAATTGATATGGGCAATAAATAAAAGGCTTTCATAATTCCCCAGAAAACTACACTAACCCCATCTGTATATTGAGCTCATGTGCCACATGTATCCCATGTTCCTGGAATATATTTAGAGCTATCTTAGTTGTGTCTGATCACATAGAAGAGCAGCTTCATTCATATGGTTTTCTTTTACTGGTAAAGACTAGTGCAGGTGTATCAACAATACAGTTTAGTTCCTCTGATAGCATACCTGCTGGAACGCAATATGCCAGCAAGAGTTTCAGCAAGGTATGTTACTAAAGGAAAATTATTACTCAGATGTGTACATGTGTACATACGCACACACACGTTACATCTTCAAAAGTCATCTCTATCATTTTTTCAGGAGTCAATAAAAAGGGTGGGCACCCTTCATCGTAGACTCAGTTACAACATTTTGGCCTACAACATGAAGTGGGTGAGTTGAACATGATCTATTTTATAGTCTGTTATGTCTGCAGCAGAGCGCTGGAGTATGTATTCACTTACAACCTACTCAAGAGTCAATGTTATTAATCTAATCTTACAATCTATATAAATCTCCACATGAGCTTTTCCTGCCTATGCTGATTAGAAAATGAACCAAAGTAAACAAGTATGTCAGAGACAAAGCAGAAGTGATAAACCTAAGGTTTTTTTGTGACCTAGTTTCTTCAGAAGAAAGTTTTGATCCAGAAGAGATGCATTTTCCCTTCATATTTGTAATTTTCCCTAGTACGTCCATTTTCTAGCCACTATTAACAACTTACTTTCTAAACTATGGACACAGGTTTATTTTCGTAACTGTGCTGTTTCATTGAAATTCAAGCCTAAACACTTTCCTGTTGGTTCCAAAGCATCGATTTTCCTGCTTACCACATATCCTTTTCTATTCCAGAAACATAGTGATATTCTCCCAAAATTTTCACTTGATATTAGCAGATAAATGAGTCCCAACAGTTTGAGTAAAACCTGCTACAAATCAGGCACTACTTTCCAGCCATGAACACAAGAGGCTATTAGGATAGATTTGAACATGAATTGCTTTCCTAATAGCTGCAATTTGCAACTATACTATTGTGCATATAAAATAAGCCCTACTGTTATGCCTCAGTGTATTTCTCCACAAACTTCCTGGAAATATTTTTTGGGGGATAGAAACTATGTATCATGCATTCTCTACAAAAGTTGTACAGCTGGGCCATATACAAAAAATTACATTAGTAAGACTGACTTGATTTTAAAAGGTATGTGCTGCTTCTGGCTTTAAATCAATTAATGGTGAAAAAATAATTAATTTTGTCACTCTATCAACATAACTAAGTTATTCCATTTGGCTCACTAACTAATTCCATGGATGGGACAGCCTAAATCAGGTCTTGGAATGGAACAG